CGGTCAACGAACACGCACTGCTCAGGGACACCAGCGCTTCATAGGGCAGCTAGTGCAGCTCATTGATGTCCTTCACGCCGCTCCGCTGTGGTGTAGATTGTGTGGAAGGTCAAGGGCCAATGACAGCCAGCCTCAATCATTTGATCTGCCGAAACAGACCCTCAGGAATTGTGCGAGAATAGCACACTGAATGAACACCAAGTAATGGCGGGAAATAATGCGGTGATATTCAGTGTCCGCTTGAATGAACCGGTGGCTGGCAGGATATCACCACTGGCCCTGACATGGGATGGATGACAACTCTCTGAAAGGCCTGTTGTTCCTCCCTCTCTGTCTCTCTCCACCCCTCACCTTCCTTCGGTGGCTGTTTTGTTTCAGTGAAATTGTTTATTTGTCTTTCGATGACACGTCTTGACCTGCTTGTTCCACTCTCCAACACATTAGTGGCTTGGTGAGGCACGCCTGAGGCTCTTTTGTGTGAGATTGATACAATATGAGCACAACCAACGGCTGCTTCGACTTTGGTGACACAATCTAGTCACCGGGACTGAAACGGGGCATGTGGTATTACGGTGCGTTTATTTACCCTCAGTCTCTAGTCTAATCGAGGGCGCTGTTTTGAGGTGGTATGAGTAAGTCGATGCCGTCATGGCAATATGAGTTATAAGTAAAAGGCGTTTGGCTACCCGTCTGCTTCCTGCTACGGAGGCCGCATGGCCTCCTCCGTGACCGATGTCGCTACAAAGACGGGCTGGCGCGGGTTGAAAGAAAGCCGGGCATTTCCTTGCCAGAGGTTAATTGCCGCCAGCGGAACCAACAATGGTAGCCGTCGCAACAACCTTAGTTCTTGCTCGGGATAAACTGGTGCATTGACTGATCAACAACGACCGACAACCTCCATGCACCACTGTGGGGAATTGAAGGGGCTCCGGATGCGACAGCGGATGTCCTCTTCTGCCGTCTTCTGGAAGAAGCACGGTGCCGCACAACATGCTTAACCCCGTGGACCTGCGACGCCGACCTCTAGGCGTGCTTGGATCATCTGTCCTGTAGCCCTCAGCTGGCCAGGGCTTGCGACCGATGGGGCCTCTGAACCTGTTGCTGTGCAGCGCGGAGATCCGTCGCCGTGTTCCCACCAAAAAAACGTATGAGAGAGCGGGGGAGGGTAGAGGATCCTTTCTGAGAAGAAGGCGTGGCAAGCTTGCGTAGAGAGGCACAGAGAAGAAGCCCTGTCTCATCGCAATCTGCACGGACTCGGCGAGGAAGGCCGGGGGCACACGCAACATCCGCTCTGCTCATGTCGTGCTCTTGCGCTTGCCCTACCCAGCAGGTATTGATATAACTCTCGGTTAGGAAGCTTGTAACGCGGCGGGCAGCAGCATGATCCCGTCACGGTTGACAACATCCGCGTTCAACCGCGTTGGGAGTGCATTGCAATCGACGATGCTGTCTCGTCTCGAACTGAGGCAAGGGGAGATCGGGCTGCATGACCGACCTGAGAGGCGCCTCAGTCGGCAGACGCGAGCTAGACGCGCATGAGCACGGGCTTTTCCACATTTAGAGTTCAACCCTCGCCAGAGTCCACCCACGAAGGTTAGGCTCTGCTGGCGGCCAAGCGCTATCGCGAGCAGAGCAAAACTACTCAGCCAGTCTTGATAGAGATCTAGGCTATCTCGGTAAAACTGCCACGATTGGTCTTCCCTTCTCTTCTTTGGCGTGCTGTGTACTTGTACGTTGCTACCCTGGCTTGCCTGGCTTCGAGGATGAACAGGCTTCTCGACCCCATGAGATGGTTGGTCAGTGCCAGCCAGACCTACCGGAGCGCATGAATCTATCAAATGATGCGGGACCGAAGAAATATCGATAAAGTGCTTAGTTATACCATTAAGTACGGTAGCCAGTGCCCAAGACCCAAGACCCAAGAACCACCCGCCGGTTGTGCTGTGCAATTGCGGCGGGACTGGGACGGCACGAGGCAATCTACACCTGCTGCTCAAATGAAGCCTCAACCAAGCGTCTAGGCGAGGATATGAGCACGGGTGCCACACTACCGAGATAATCAAAAGCTCCCTTCGCCTCTATCCTATTTTGGACGAAGATGGGGCAACTTCCTTCCATATTTAGAGAGCATCTGCCAACCCTGCAGTCACTGTCCGGCGTGCTTCAACGTGGTTTCTCTGCCGCGCCTCCCGACCTTGAATGGTGAACGCAGAAGATGAAATGTGACCCAGAGCTTCCATGTGGCCAACACTTCCCATTGATGGCATCTCGAGGCAGGTATCTTAATCCACGATTTGGCGTGCATACAATTACAGCATGACTAGTATGACAAGGTTAGAGTTGATATCGGTGTTTTTATCTGGCTGTGAACTCGGGTTTCGTCGCAACTCGAGTCTCGAAAGAGAGGAAAACGCCGTAACTCTTTGTCGTCTTTTTTCTTTTCTTTTTCGCTTTCGTTTTTCCTCGTTCATTTTGATAGCTGGTGGGGCAAAATATTTAATGTTAACCACTGAGACGAGCATCAAGCATCGGAGATGAGATGGACCTAGGCGGGCCGGTTTCTTTCCAACGAGAAATCAGAGGGATCTAGTCAACTGGTCTCTCTTCTTGACGCTTGAACACCGGAAAGTCCCTCTTCCCCTGAAGGGTCTTAAAAAAGGGGCGAATCTTGACAGATTTGGAACGGGCTCCATTTTAGCCTTCGTCTTTGAACTAAAACAGAGAACGGTTCGAACCGGAAAACGTACACTCTAGGTACCTCCTTCCTCAAGATCTACCCCGCAAGCCAATGAAACAAGCCTAAAAACCGCTTGTTTGGCAGATCACTCGCAACTGATTTTCGGACATGGCTTTCTGTATACCTCGAGAGTACATGCGGAAGGGGCGGTGGACCCAGTCCCCCTGCAGGGGAAGTGCCCTGATTCTTCGTACAGTATAATAATAAATCCAATCACTGAGATCGGGAAAGATCAACTTGCGGGGGCGCCGAATGCGCGAAGAGCGTGCTGGGGAAAGAAAGCTGCTGTTCAGGTACCAGGGCAGCACAGTATCGAAACCACAACCTCGTATTTGAAAATTGCACAAATGCCTGCCAAAGACGAGGCATATCAAGGGGAGCGGGTGAAGGCCATGCAGGTCACGATACCGTGCGAACCAAGAATCTATGTATCCTAGACACTGCAGGAGGTAGCATCACGATATTTTACTTGCAGATACATGCCTCAGTCAGGAGAAAGAGCATACGAACAAAAACCAATGCTGGCCTGATCACAGGAGCGCGAGAACGCAGGAGAACGTGGTGCCTGTGTCCATCTTTCTTGGGGACAAGCCTTGAGGTTTCCACGTCTTCTCCCCCTTCTTCTCTCTTCATCTCGACTTTTCTCTCGGGTTGGGACATCAAAAGACTCTTTGACTCGCCTTGGGTCGTTGACCTTTTTCTTGTGGTCTTGCAACACAATCGTTCATTTTTTTCCAACTGCGAGGCCTCCTTTCGTTCTAATTGACGCTCGTTTTATTCTTCGTTTGTCTCTTTTATTCTTCTTTTTTTTTTTTTCTTCCCTTCCTGGAGGTGACCTAATACCATTCAATATCGACCTTCACCCCTTTTTGAAAAGGGGCGTTAGAGATCCTTTGGCAACTAGGTCCGGCAGCGCTTTCGATGTTGTGTACCTTATTCACCTGGCCTCCCACGACTATTACCAACTAAGGACCAAAAATTGAATCTCCGAAGCCCATCAATCACTCGGACAAAGAAAAAGGATACCTCGACAGGAAAATTACTCAAACAGTTCACGACACAACCGGCCCCGTATCTGGTTGTTCTGCGTCTCGGTTCGCTTGAGAGTTGACGTTTCGTTGCCCGACAACCGCCAGGTTTTGCCAAGTTTTCCAATTTATCCTTTTTCTGGGGTGGGCGAACTGAACGCGCTGAGCCACACAGGCCAGAAACACGGCGCGTTCCTGCCCACTTTCCCAGATTCCTTCCTGCGCCTTCACCAATCTGGCACCTGCGATTTGATACGGGCATACCAAAACGGTGCACTCCCTCTTCTCCCCACCGTCGCCCAAGGAACGGTCCCCGCTTGCCCACTCCTAAAGCCGTTTCTGGATCCTAGTGAGATCCCCGTCTCTGTCAGACCGGCACCTTCCTGCCTTTATTGGCGTTTCCGCGCATAATAACAAATCAATATCGTGGGTTGGCCTCTCTCTCTCTCTTTCCCCTTCTGCTTTTGGGTGTCCCTTCGCTTTGTGTTTCATGCATACCCATCGCTTTGCACCATTTTGAGACCTCGTCTCTCGCTGCCCTTTGAGCCTTTTCTTTTTCTATTCTTTTTTTCATTCTTTTTCCCCCTCTCCTTCCATGTCACCATCGTAGGGCACTTGACAACTCCCACAATCGAACTATCGCATCGCCCCTACAAACCAAGTAGGAGCCAGCACTTAGCGACTCTAGGGTGCGTTTTTGGAGAGGCCTCGGCCATCTTGTCGAATTTTGTCCGGTCACCCTCTTCTTGGGAGGATGCCGATTCCCCCAGCCTCGTGTCACCTGTCATTCTCACATCGTTTCTCTCGCGGCCACTAGTTTTTGCTTTGGACAAATCTTTCTTGAACCCAACACTAACGTCCGCCTCCGTGCTCCTCAACGCAGGACAATGTCTCTTCCCGAGCGGCCGGGTGCTAGCCCTTCGTATGAACAGAGAAGCGGCTATCGCAACTCGCCGTCTCGAAGAAATCGCCCGCAGGATGCTGAAAGTGGCGGCTACTACCCTCTCGGCCCTATGCCAGCACACCAACGTGGGCAATCCGCCACATCCTTTCCCGAGACCATCGTGGATCCTAATGGTAATACAGAGAGTTTGCCCCTTTCCCCGACCGGGCCTGCGCCCACCAACGAGTCTAGCCATGGCAATGTCGGGCGAAAGCGAAGCCTCATCAGGCCGGAAAGGAACAAGATAGGAAGGGACCACCCCAACTATCATTACCGAAAACATGCCGCCAAGATGAATACGTTGCCGTCTACGACAGGCAACAACCCGTTGGCAGAAGAGATTGAAGAGGGCTCGGATCGATCGCCTTCTCGTACGATAGACGGCTACTCGGATACAACCCCGACGAAGGACGCGAGAAGCCCTCGCGGCAATGACGATCCCGAGAAGGGCCTGCGAACTTCGACGAAACGAACCAAGTCGTCGAAAATCAGGAAGGAAGGTGGTGGAAAAAGAAGCACCAGCAACAAAAGGAGCAGATCCGTCCGCCCAGCCTGTGGAACGTGTATTGCGCCATCATTACCTTTTGGTGCCCAGACTTCATTCTCAAGTGCTTTGGGATGGCCGCCAAGGCCCAGCAGCGTGCCTGGAGAGAGAAGATGGGTCTCATCAGCATCATTCTTTTCATCATGGGCGTTGTCGGTTTCTTGACTTTCGGTTTCAACCAAGCCGTCTGCGGCTCCCCCTCCTAGGCTTCGTGTTAATGAGGTGACTGGTGGCTACATGATTTTTCACGGCGTCGCTTACGATCTCTCCAACTCTGGTCATCCTGTTGCTGAAGGTATTCCTATCCGCCAAAACGGACAGGCTGCTAACATCCTGTTCGACTTGCCGGAAAAGAATAGCGGCAAAGACGGCAGTTTCCTTTTTCAAAACGTAAATGGCCGGTGCAAGGGCCTCATCACCAGGGCTGCCAACTCTGATGTTGTCACCAACAGCAACGGAGACCTCGGCTGGTATTTCCCCTGCTCAACTTTCAATCAGGACGGCTCCAGCCGCCCCAACACTACCTCGCCCCCATATGTAGGATACGCTTGCCACACCAGCACCGCCGCCCGCAATGCCTTCTATCGCCAACTGAAGGGTTCGGCAGATGTCTACTTTACTTGGGATGATATCCGCAACAGTACGCGCAATCTCATTGTCTATTCAGGCAACGTGCTCGACCTGCAGCTTCTCGACTTCTTGGACGAAACCAAAGTCACCATCCCCAACCGCTTCAAGGAGCTTCGGAACCGAAACACGGCTGTGAATCAGGCTATTCGTGGCCGCGATGTGACTCGTGCTTTCCAGGCATCCGACGACAAGCAGGTCGCTGAATGCCTTGAAGAGATTATCAAAGTTGGCACGGTAGACACAGAAACCGTTGGCTGTATTGCAGCCAAGGTTGTCCTCTACTGCACCCTTGTGCTCATTCTCGCTGTGGTGTGCGCCAGATTTGTTCTCGCACTCATCTTCCAGTGGTTCATTAGCCGCAACTATGCCGCCTCCAAGACTTCTCAGACCTCGGACATAAGGAAGAGAAACCGACAAATTGAGGATTGGAGTGAGGACATCTACAGCGCCCCGCCCCGTATCCCGGGAGATATGGGTAGCAGCGTTGCGGGAGCGGGGTCCGATCGAGGAAGTAAGCGAGGCTCATTCTTGCCAACCACCTCGCGCTTTTCGTCGGTGAATGGCCCTGATCGTAGCCTGAACAAACGTGTCCCGACCACTATGGCTAGCCAAGGTGCAGGAAGCAGCCTTCATCCCGGCTCCATGTACCAGCAGCGTAATGACAGCAGAACAAGCTTTCTCCGGTCAGATCCCTATGCGAGCACCACTAGCCCCACAGAGGGTCCTGGCCCCGCTGGCTTTATTCACGAAGCGGTCGTGCCCCAGCCTCCCAGTGATTGGATGCCATTTGGTTTCCCTCTTGCTCACGCCATCTGCCTCGTCACTGCGTATTCTGAAGGTGCTCAAGGTCTTCGCACAACTCTCGACTCGATCGCCTTGACAGATTACCCTAACAGCCACAAGGTCATCCTGGTCATCTGTGATGGTATCATCAAGGGCAAGGGCGAAAAGTATTCGACACCTGAGATTGTCTTGGGCATGCTCAAGGACCACGCCATGGCCCCCGAAGAAGTGCAAGCCTTCTCGTACGTCGCCGTCGCAAGTGGCTCCAAGCGACACAACATGGCCAAAATCTACTCGGGATTCTACGACTATGGCGCCGATTCCTCCATCCCTCTCGATAAACAGCAGCGCGTCCCTATGATGGTCGTGGTCAAGTGTGGCACTCCTGATGAGATGAGGACGTCGAAGCCCGGTAACCGTGGCAAGCGTGACAGCCAGATTGTACTCATGTCATTCCTTCAAAAGGTGATGTTTGACGAGCGAATGACGGAACTGGAGTACGAAATGTTCAACGGGCTTTGGAAAGTGACGGGTATATCGCCTGACTACTATGAAGTGGTTCTCATGGTAGATGCCGACACCAAAGTTTTCCCCGACAGCCTTACGCACATGATCTCGGCCATGGTAAAGGATCCCGAAATCATGGGACTGTGTGGCGAGACCAAGATTGCCAACAAACGACAAAGCTGGGTGTCCGCTATCCAGGTCTTTGAGTACTTCATCTCTCACCACTTGTCCAAGTCGTTTGAGTCCGTTTTTGGTGGTGTAACGTGTCTGCCCGGCTGTTTCTGCATGTACCGAATCAAGGCCCCCAAGGGCGCCCAGAATTACTGGGTCCCCATTCTTGCCAACCCTGACGTTGTCGAGCACTACTCGGAGAATGTGGTCGACACTCTTCACACGAAGAACTTGCTGCTTCTCGGTGAGGATCGATACCTATCAACACTTATGCTCAGGACGTTCCCCAAGAGGAAGCAGGTATTCGTGCCCCAGGCCGTGTGCAAGACCACGGTGCCTGACACATTCAGCGTCTTGCTCTCGCAGCGTCGTCGTTGGATCAACTCAACCATCCACAACCTCATGGAACTTGTCCTCGTGCGTGATCTCTGTGGCACTTTCTGCTTCAGCATGCAATTTGTCGTCTTTATTGAGCTCATTGGAACCCTTGTTCTCCCCGCCGCCATTGCCTTCACTTTCTACGTCAGTAAGTAGCTTACCTGAACCCGGCTCCATTTTGTAGAGTCGGGCATTATTCCCCTCCCTGCTCGTTGCTCTTTCCATCGCAGAACATATCCCGCTAACGTTTGGGCTGTTGCGCAGTCATCATCTCAATTATCAATTCGCCGCCTCAGATTATTCCCTTGATCCTCTTGGGTCTCATCCTCGGTCTCCCTGCCATTCTTATTGTGGTTACTGCCCACTCTTGGACTTACATGGGATGGATGGTCATCTACCTCTTCTCGCTCCCAATCTGGAACTTTGTTCTTCCTGCCTATTCGTTCTGGAAGTTTGACGACTTCTCCTGGGGCGATACGCGGAAGACGGCGGATGAGAAGGTTAAGAAGGGCGGCATTGAATACGAGGGAGAGTTCGATAGTAGCAAGATCACGATGAAGAGGTGGGCCGAGTTTGAACGCGACCGCCGGGCACGTCTCCAGTTCTGGTCCTCCAGAGAGAACGTTGCTGGGGGAGCATCAAGCGCGGGAGGTTGGTCTGCACCTCCTGGGCAAGCCTACCACGACGACTACTACTCAGACGCGTGATAGGCTCTGGTAGCCCGGGCATTGTGCCATCTTAACCATTCTTTTCTCGCACTATCCGGACAGGGCTCGTCGTCCGATACCGGATGCTTTTCGCAATAGCAAGCCTTTCCCTTGGCCTCTTTTCACCACGATCCGATGGAGAGATGGACCGCCAGGAATTGAGCAAGACATGATCACAACACGACTTTTGTTGTACGAACCAATAATACCAGCCAACTAGAGCTGGAAAACACCCACATACTTTAATACAGGAGGAGGACTGGCGAGGCTAACCCACGAGTCCCCTCCTCCGTTTTTGAGTTTGACCAGCCATCTTACGCCCCCGTTTTATTTGTTTTTTTGTTCTTTTTTTCCCTTTCTCCTTTCTTACCTTAGTATCTATCCTGTTTTCATGGGTTCTGCTGTGTATAGAGAGCGGACTTTTTTCGGAGGCATTGGAGCGGCGTCTTTATCCCTGACACGAGGAACCTCCTACACGATCCTGTACATACTTTTTTTTTTCCCTCCCCTTCACCACCAGGCTTGTCTTCGCTTTCTTTTTCTCTAATTCCTTGTTTGCGGAAGGCTGTCTTTTCTTTGTCTTTCGCCGTGATTCAGTGCCTGATTAGACGTACACTATACTCCCTAGGTTCAAACAATACTACTCTTTTTTTGTTTTCCATCTTTAGGGAATGCGCTCGGCCAAGGAATGCCACACACTCCCCGATACCAAGAAACTGATGTTCCCCGCACCCCTTCTCCTGTCTTGTTCTCCGGTTGGTTGGGGCGGGTGATCTCCGCGTAACCAAGGCGGGCATTGGTGAATGTGTATGTGGCTATATGTAGGGTCGAGGAGGAAATGTGGTGGAGGGTGAGAGTGATGCGCGTTTCGTTTGCAACCCGAGACTGACTGTCGGGAATGCTTGATGTAATGCTGGCGAGATAAGCACAATAGCTCGGCCCGGCCATGTTCTCTATTCTTGCCACGAAGCCTTTTTCTCTTCTCTTAGTACGGGGGCTCATTAGTTTCCAGCCTTGGATCCTTGGAGGCACTCGTTTCCTCGAAGTCTTGGGCTTAATTTTCCAGGTCGGCTGACTATGAGTCGTCCCCTCGGTCTAACGCAACGCAATTGAATCGAGGAGGGAAACCTCGAGTTTCCAAACCATTTACAAGTATCTCGGGGTGGCCTTCCGCTAGAAGCCCTCAACCATCGTCCGCCGTTCCATGGCCACAGGTTTTTTTCGTCAAGGTCTAGAAATAGCTATGGTGTGATAGGAGAGGGGAAGACATGCATGGGCTGGCCGGGTTTTAGGAGGCTTCAGACCCGGACACCAAGCTGGTTCAATTTGTGCAAAGTGGATGGGAGGGTCATTGGGTCCATCCAAGGAGCGGAAGGTGACTTTGGGAGGCCTGGTCCTTGGCCGGCACATCGTCTGTGCCTGATGTGGTGCTAGGGTTCACACATCGGAGGTGGTCTCGATCTTAGCAGGAATCCAGGGCCTAAGGAAGCAAGCACAAGTAGGTGGATGAGCGATATCAACACGCGGGGGCTTTCTGTGCTACCCCTTGAGTCCGTTTCCTCTTTTTCTTCTTTATTTTTCTCTCTCTTCTTATCCCCTTGAAGAGAAGTGCCAGCGTCCTCCTTTTGGGGCCCTGAGCCTCTCTATCGTTGTGTTGAGGAGGGGGAAAAGGCGAGGGGGGATGGTTTGATCATTGCTGCATGGCTCCGCTTCGACATGAGAAAAGGGCGAGCGAGCCCTCTTGTCGTGAATAGCATGGATCTGTATCAGCTCACCTGCATCTAGAAGGGTCGAGGGCGGTTGAGGCAGGAGGAGAACTGGCCGAGGCCATTCTGCACTTCATTGTTTTGGGGAGGAGACTCGGGTTGGTGGATTAGTGGGGGAGTGCATGGGCTTTCCATTCACCTTTTCGCATCGACGCTTGGTCGGACAACATGGATCACCCTGGCCACAACCGCAGCGGAAAAGGAACAACGGGAGAGCGGTAGGGCCGCTGATTATGGAAGGTTCCGTATCACAATCTACAAGTCACGAAGATCTCCTCGACGGGTCCGACGTGGGACAAGCGAGGGCATCCGAGCCGGCGGAGTCGCACAAGGGAAAAAGAGGTGCATAGGGGACGAGTATTGGTGTATCTTTTCTTTCGTCCCTGTTTGGAAGAGAAGAAGGAGGGGGGCTTGTAGAGTAGAGCGTGTGGAAAGAACCCTTGTCTGGGTTGTTCACTCTTGCCCCGTCCCTCGTTGTGCGATGCCTCAGCTCTGAGGGCGTCGAGCCAGCGACGTCTCCGAGGTTTGTGATGCCCACACTCGGAGGTCGATCAGAAGAAAAACGGCAAGGGAACATGAGAAGAAGGAAAAAAAAAAAAGAAGACAAAGGAAACAAACGAGGGGCGTTGAAGAGAGAGGGGAGAGCGAGGTAGGAAGACAAGATTTTGCATCAAAAACTGGGAGAAAGGCCTCGAGCTCGCTCAAGGAAAAGGGTCGAGAGATTGTCTGGGCTGGCCCAGATTGCTCCAAATGGGACAGGTGCAGAAGTGAAATGCGTGAGCCCATTCCGCAATCTCTCCAACCTCCCGCACCTTTCTCTCCACTCCCCTCTCTTTTTCTTCTTTCTCTCTCTCCCTCACGTTTTATCTTCTTCGGACACCTACCCCGTCCCATTTTGGGAACTTGAGCGAGAAAAGGTGCGGCCCATCAGCGGGATTTGGGAATGCAAGTGGATGGTCGGAGAGAACCCTTGAAATGGAGGACGGGAAGGGATGGTCAGCTAGGCCAAACCCCCCAAAAGATGACGTTTCGGATACGATTCCACGTCGGCCAAAGACACACAAGTTGATCCCAAGAGTTGAGAAACTTATTATTTAACCTCAAGAGGGACGGACACACATATGTGAGGATAAGGCAGGCCCTGCTGCACTGGAGAGTGGGGAAGGGGTCGAGGGTGGGACGTCAAGAGAGCGTGCTCTCCGTCCCTCTCGCATCCCGTTGTCGATTCATGGGATTGGTAATAAAACACCACATCGCCAGGGCGAGCTGTTCTACGAGTACGGGGAAAACGTGAGGGGAGCTGAACTGGTGAAGCGGTTTGGGTGACCCATTCCATCAAATTTGATGTATCTCTGATGCGACTTTAGGTGGTATCAAGGGTGTTTGGTGCCATCAATGGGGGGGCACGCATCAATTGATCAGTGGGAGCGCCAGCAGCTCGGCGAGGCCATGGAGTAGCATCCAAAAGACCCCAAAACATCCTCGATCCGACCTAGAATGACAGGGCACCGAGAGCGTGGATCCGAGCGCGGCGACAGAAGGGCCTTCTCGAGCTCCCTCATCAAGCGTGCTCCCTTCGAGAGGGGAAGGTTCATTTATGCCTCGTGCCAGCTGGCTCCATCATTGCAATGTTACGTGCGTGAGCCCAGCGCCAAGGGCAGCAGTAGCAGCAGTGGCCTATTAATATGCCCGCGGTTGAAGCGACATTGGCAGCATGCTGTGGCCTTGGTGGATGTACACGAATGCCTTCTACTATGTACGAGTGGACTCGGAGAGGAAGGTCGGCGAGAGAATGGAAACCGTAAGCTATTATCGGGCAGCTGAAAGAGGGGGGATAAATCAGCAGCGATATTCGAATATTGAAGTCTGCCTGGTTGTCAATTGTTCCCGAGCTCAATGTCTCATTTTCGGCGAGTCTGATGGACCGACTAAACTAATTATTACTCCACGCCTTTGGAACAACTGGGACGGGGACGGGGACGGGGACTTCCCAAGCTGAGGAATGGGAGGGAAGGGAAGGGTGAGGGGGTCCCCCGGGCGGAATAATACGACGGGTCGGATCTTGTCTTTAATATCAACTCCCACCTCATCCCGCCAACCCACCCACCATCCCCGCTCTCTCCACTCGCTCTGCACACAATGTCTCGTCAAAGTCAAGTGGCTGCTCGTGCCGCCCCTCAGCGGCTGCTGCATTGAGCACCTGTGATCCGCGAGGAGAGCGAAGCACTCGGCCACGGGACCCTTGTGGGCTCCTCTCAACTTCCTTGGCCTGGGATTTGCCGCCCCCGCCTCCCCACGGGTGTACCGGTCAACGAGAACAGGGACAATGACGAGAATCTTCCCTCGGTCCGTTGCCATCAATCAAGTCCTTTTTTCTTTCTTCTTGTTTAGCTGCAGACAGCGATGCAAAACGCCAAAGAGGGCTGGGGGAAATGAGTCGTGGGAGAGATGATGATGGTGCGCATTTCATTCATTTGGTGGCCACCCCCTCTTCCCTCCACTTCCCCTCGTCGCTGGTGGCTGTGGCGTGCACCCTTTCCCTCGCAGTCGATCAGTGCAGGCGGCGGTTGTGGCCGCTCCTCTTCCTCCCCTGAGAGGACCCTCAATCTTTTCTCTCTTCCCCACGCCGGCCGGCCGGCTCACCCAGGTGTGCCAGGTGTGCCTCTCAAGGGACACAAAATGGGGGTGTTTAGACTATAGAGAATATTGATAAAGATATGGAGGAGAGAGAGAGAGAGAGAAAGAGAGCGAGTGAAGGAGATGGAGCGTGGAGGGAAACGCGGCGGGACGGAATCCCGCTCCGATCCAAGGGTCGTCGCCCTGTTCCCGGCGGCACTGACACTGACATTGCTGCCGCCGCATCACTTTTTTTCGTTTCATGGTTTTCCCCCTCCCTTTGTCACTATGTGCTGCTAGTCCTTGCACCTGACCTCAACCCGGATGATTCTATCACATATCTTGATTCATTTTCCTTGTTTAACGGACAACTTATCAGCGGCGCAGCACACTACTACCTGCCCGCCGCCCATAAGGGAAAAGGTTGGGGGCAGCCGCTAATATTGCCCGAGTCCAAACAAGGCACCTTGCCTGCCGGGTGCTATCAAGTTGTGAGACTGTGAGACTGTGAGCACTTGAGACTTGGAAGACTGTGCTGGGCCCTAACCTACCTGCCTACCATGCTTTGGCCTGCCCTACCCTACCCTACCCTGCCGAAGTTGATCAGTCACCACCGAGTCGAGTCCAATCCAGCCTGAGACCGTCGTCGGCGAAGACAACCCGGTGTCTTGCTGAGTTGGGTTTCGGGGTTGATTGGCCATTTGGGCCACTTCTGCTTTCCCCTCTTTCTTCTTTTTCCCTTTTTCTTCTTCTTCATCTATTATCGTCTACTCTCTTTTACTCTTTAATTACCCAAAAGCTGGTGGGCGGATGGGAGAATGGGGATGCCAAACATGCAAATATCCAGACTCTCTAGGTACCTCATACCCCTGTGAAGTCACAGAAGCCGAGATCGAGGCCCCGTCAACAGTCTTCAACAGTCGGCAGGTCAGGGTTGGTAGTGGTAAAGAGGGGGCGGTTTGCCAATGACTGTGCTCAATGTCCTGAATCCAAAGTTGGCTGCATGTATAGAATTGATCCATCTGTACAAGTACCCTCCCGCCTGGCAAGGGCATCGATTACACTTCAATGTTGATTGTTGGCTTCGAGGTTCCCTGGCCTCCTTGCCTCCTCTCCGAGGTTTCCTCCGACAGTCTAACATGCATAGAGTTGAATCCAATGAGTACCCCAATGTATTTCGGTATACAGACGGTTGTACCAATTAGAGGTATTCTGGGCCTTTCACCGGAGATGGAATACCTCGTGCTGAGACCTGTGGCCGAATTAGCCTTTCTCCGCACGAAGCCACAGCGACCTGGACCCATTTGGTTGATTGATCGTTTTTGAGTAGTGTACATCCATCCATTGGATCTAAATGGCTGAATGGGTCCATGGAAAGATGAATGGCACTCTGTCAAGAGGTACCTCGCGTTCAGCGGGAAGCAGCAGGTAATGGAATGTTCCAAGCGCTCTTCGACCTATTACCTCGGTACGCTACGAAATGTTCGAAGTAGGATGGCGCCAACTTGATCTAGTGAAGCCAAACGAGTGCGGCGCTGTTCACCAGCAGATCAAATCATGGTCCATTGAAGTTGAAAGATGGAGAGGCATTCACGGAATGGGCCCATGAGGATCGGTAGAGCAATACATCTTGATTTATTCTACAAGTCGATGGAGGTTATGGTACTTCGCACCTACTTGCAGTGACAGTGGACGGACAGTCGGAGAGCACGAATCAGCAACAGGTCCATTCGAGAATTCAATGCTCCCGAGGGATGGCGCCGGCCAAGGGAGTTGGGTTGGGGAGAGCATGCCGCATTCCCAGCTCATGCAGCAAGCAGGATGATGGGGCATAATGGAATGAGGAGAGATCTATTCGATCCGCTTGATGGAATGGATTAAGACCAAATGATGGGATCCTAAGGGGCGTCCACCTGCAGCGCCGCGCGAAACGGAGCACTGAAGAACCGGGGAAATGGTTGAGTGCTGGTGCGAGGGGGATCGAGCAAGGTCGACTATCCAGGATGTTGGGCATTATGGGGTCAACGAACATCAACTGATCAATTGGAGTCTACATGTAACCATTGACCACACTCTGGAGTTGAGCACCGAGGTATTGGTATCAACTTGGTGAAGTACTTGGACCCTTATGCTGTATCCATATATATCTCTGTCTCTAGATTTGCAGATTCAGCCACGATTGATGCTATCATCTATTGATGTCCTGAGCACTCATTTTTGACCTTGGCCAGTGCTGATTGCCGCCCGCCAGCCGACGACCCTAGTGCTAGCATCTTGACCCCAGCACGCTCTCGAGCTAGCACCCTTGCACCCTCGCACCCAGGCTCAAATTCAATGGGAACATATGCCCCAGTGCCCCAGTGCCCCAATGTCCTATCCCGGTGCTGGCCCAGTGTCAACCATTGTTCAATGTTCAATGTTCTGTCCCGTCCCCTCAGCGGCAACTGCAACTTGGACCTTAATTGGTACTTCCCTGCCATAGTATAGTACATCTCTCCGCCATTGCCAACCCGGCCTCACGTTCTTTTTTTTCCTTTCTTTTTCTTTTCCTTTTCCTGTCCCCCAATTCTCATCAATATCCCTGTCCGTCCCTTGCCAGCATTAATTTGGAGAGCATCGTTGGTCATTGTTCGGTCGTGTTGTTGGTTCGCACCCTCTTGTTATTGCTTCTCTCTCCTTCTGTCCCATATTATCTCGCCTCCGCATCGCGTCCGCCCACGCTTCACCCAAGACCACCCAAGGCCACCCTCCTCTTTAATCGTTCATCGCCCTCTCCAGCTCAAGCCTCTCCCACTCTGCCCTCTACCCTCTACCCTCTTCCCCGGCCCGCTAATTCCCTCCCCACCACTGGCCCCAAATACTTGGGCCTTCCTTGTACACCCACAACCCGCCAACTCATCGATCGACAACACTCAGCCTCGACAACACCGAAAACAAAACGGACGCGAGACCGAAAAAGAAGACCACCCCAAAGCAAAGGGCCAAGGAACAGGGAGAAAGAGACCATGTGAAGAAAAGGTCCCTGCCCCGTTTGCCTCCGGATTCCTTGTTACTGCGCAGCACATCCTCTGCTTATCTCTTTCTGCATTTCTTTCCCTTGTTCCAACCAGTCGCTTTTTTTTTCTTCTCCGGGAGGTTTGTTCGAGCCTTTGCTCCATCGCCTCAAAGAAGGCCCTCCCCTCCGAAAAAAAAAAAAGAACAAGACAGAAGAAGATCGGAGCAAGCAGGGCAAAAAGCAACGCTCCCAAGATCCCCCAAATCAGTTGACACCTGTTGCAACGCCTTCCGGCCCGGTCATCGTTCGCCGCCTGCGCTAAGCTCTCTCGCATCGTAGACGGTCCACGCCTGCGATTGAGAAAACGGCTAGCCCTGAGTTGAGCCCTCTCATCGCCGTTCTCATATCCTCCTTCGTCGCTGTCGATTTTCCCGCCTTTCCCACCCCCGCCGTATCCTAGGCACCTATCTCATTGCTTTCCCAACCCTCGCTACGATACGCCATCTTCCTGCACGCTGCTGCCCGCGACCTGCGACCTGCGACCCGCGACCCGAAACCTCGACGCTTCCTCCCCTCCCGGAGGAGGCTGCGACATATCCAGAATCCGCGATCAGATGGTGACCGATTTCACGTAAACAGGAGAGGTGTTTAGCGGTCTTTAGGACTTCTCCAGGAAGGAGAGCGTCAGACCCGGGTCGAGCCCTTTCCCGGACTGACATCGAACGGCTTTTCCCGCGCCCCCACCGCGGAAACCTCTGGGTCACGATGCCTTCCCAGGGCCACGGTCCTGGTCCCGTCCTCCCTATACCCATCTATGCCGATTCCGCGAGCGATTCGGACGACCACCCCAACGGCCACCACGAGCCCGACAGCTCCGATAACATGTACGACGACGACGACGACGACGTGAACGCGAACGCGCTTCACTTCACCTCCCATACCGCCCAGATCCCCTCCCACTATACTACACAGGCCATATCAACACCCGCCTATCCCTTTTTCTCGTATACCCACCCTTACGTGCCCACACATCACGAAGCCAGCGAAGAGGAGGAGGACGAGGATGACGAAGACGAGGACGAGGACGAGGACGAAGATGAAGAAGAGGATGATGGTGAGAATGAGGACGAGGACGGAGACGAGGACGAGGATGAGGACGGAGATGTCGACATGAGCGATAGCGATGGCGGTGCGTCGCTAGGCCCCGGCCATGAAGGTGCCTATGCATTTACCAGCACCACGCACCAGGGAGGTCCGCCGCACCCGTGGCCTTCTCCGCTGATACAAACCGCACACCCACTTTCCCCTCCGCATCACCACCACGCCGCGATACCTTCGCATAACCCACATGTCTCAGCCGTTACCTCTCTCTCCTCCCCCACATTCCCCCATGTACCGCCTCTCTACCATACGATACCCGATCCCGTCGGCGGCCCTTCGCCCGTGTTTCCGCAGACAGCCTACACGGACGACATACCAGCTTCCTCGTTTCCTCATCCACACCTGCCCTCCTTCGATATGCCCCAGGTGCATTCCTATAATCCTGCCCCGCCTCCACCCAATGACGATATCGATTTTCTGTCCCAGCCCCAACCCCCGATCACCTCGGCGTTCCCGAGCCGCCACACATGGCCTCAGCCGACGACGATGTCGACGAACTTGAGGGCCCCCATCCACTGACCACGTCTTTCCATGGCAATTCAGGTGTCCAGATCCCCCAACCTCCCGGGATCCTTGTCCCCATTAATCCCGGTCTCGTGCCCTTTCTGCGCTCCTGGGCGCATCCCGCTCTCTCCCGGCCCGAAGATAGGCGCCCACGGTATAGGGCTCCATGGCTGCCCTACGTCGAGGACCTAGACACATCTCGCTTAAAGTCGGTCAGTTACGACGAGCTTATGGGTGACCAGTACGACGTCCAGGGTATCGACTGGTCTCACCTGCGCGTTACGCGCAAAGAGGCGCGCGAACGACGCTTGAATACATATACCAATTTTGTCAACATTGCTCATTCGGATGCCTTTAGCGTACGTCACTTTTCTTTTGGGTTCCTCCCCCCTCCCCCTCCCTTCCCCTTACCTCCTTGTTTGTACCTTTGGAATCCCGAACCTTAAGCCTTTGAGCATACTCCGGGATGCGGCGAGGAGTTGGGGTCTGGGGTTGAGAGAGCGTTGCACAGAGACAGCAGCAAAAGATTGCATCCATGAACTGCCCACGGCTAACTTGCATAACCACCTCATAGCCGAACCGCCCGGACCGGATGCTGCAGAGAAGCGAAAACTACTTTAGATTTAGACGGATGCACGTACGGAAAAATGTGCGCCTGAACCACTTTCAGCTTAGAAATATCCTTGCCACCCCGTCGAGGATGCAATCCTTCTACCCTGAAGCTCGCGGGATACGGCAGATTGACCCCCAAACAGGCAGGGATGAGCTTTTCTTGAACCTCAAGGACATGGACGGCGGGGGCTTGGTTTCCACGCTCTCTGCCACCGACCGAGTCCTCGTGGCGGGTACCTTCAACGGAGAATACTGTATCAAAAACCTCGACTCGACCGACAAACGCCACGTCGAAGGCCAGCTCACCGACGACACAAGCGGAATCACGACGCACGTCCAAGCATACGAAGCGCGCACCTCGGCGAGTCCGCACGCTGCCTTTGCATCAAACGACCGCGGCTTCCGCGTTCTAGACGTAGCCACGCAAAAGTTTGTCTTGCAGACCATGTACAACTTTCCCGTCAACTGCACGGCCATGTCCCCGGACAAGCGCTTGCGTGTCATGGTGGGGGATCATTTCACGGCTGTCGTGACCAATGCCGAAACCGGCGAGGTATTGCAGGAGCTCAAAGGTCACCACGACTTTGGCTTCTCGTGCGACTGGGCCGACGATGGCTGGACGGTCGCCACGGGCTCGCAGGACATGACGGTCAAGATTTGGGACGCCCGGCGTTGGGGGAATTCTCAAGGCGACAACATTCCCCTGTGCACGATTCGCTCCGAGATGGCGGGCGTGCGCAACCTCAAGTTTTCTCCGCTCGGCAGCGGCAAACGCGTCCTCGTGGCCACCGAGGAGGCCGACTTTATCAACATTATCGATGCCCGCGACTTTTGGTGCAAGCAGACCTTTGACGTGTTTAGCGAGATTGGCGGTGTTGGCTTTTCCAACGACGGCCAAGACCTCAAGTTCTCTGTTGCGACGCCTCCCGTGGCGGTCTGCTTCAGCTCGCACGCTGCGACCTCGGCGCGGAGACGGCAGAATTCGGCTACGACCCCAACTTTGCTCCCTACCGGGCCCGCGCGCTAGAACGTAAAGGCTTCGACTGGGCCCCGACTGTCGAGGACGTTGTGCGCGATCCGCGGGCTACTGGCACGGCCACGCGGAGAAGGAGAAGGGCGGCCATGACGGCACCGCTCTCTCCCTTTTAATCTTTTGGCTGGGGAAGGGGGAAAAGAAGAGATAAATGGTGGACCGACGGTGTAGACTGCATCCGTCCCCTTTACTATTTCCCCCTTTTCCGACTCTCTATTTTCTAGTCTCTGTCACGATTTTGAAGTCTAGTCCCTTCTGTGTTTGGGTGGGAATTCATATTGCGGGAAATATTGTTGTTGCATAATGGACTTTTATACCCTTTCCTCGTCTCAATCGCTCGTATATTTTATTTTACTGCATTCCATTTCATTCGGTCCCTTCTCTCTCTCTCTCATTGTGTCTCTCCGTGCTTTGGATCTGTTGGCCACGGGCTACTTGCGTGCGTTTCCGTGCTCGTCTTAGACTAGACGTGTCGAGCAATGGGCGTGAACTACCTTTTTTTTTTTCTTCTCTCGTCCTTTTCGCCGTGTCTATTTGGCATGCCTGTGGAGGTCTTGAGACTCCCCCGATGGTTTCCTCTCTGTCTCTGAGCATAGATATTGGCAAACCCGCCTAATTCGTTGCCGTGCTCCTTGGCCGGCCTACTTGTTCATCTTTGCTCGCCCTTTTTCCTTGCTGGAAGATAGTTTGTGTAAGAGTTGTAAGTCTCGTACGAGTTCAAAAACTTTGGTGACATTCTATTCCTCGTCCCCATCTTTTTCCTTTTCTCTACTGCGTTGGCCTGGTCCACCAAAGACTCCTAACTGCATTGCAGCTCCCGGGCAGCAGGGGACGCTGCCCTTTCTCTACTTGTAGACGGCAGCCGCATCAAGCTCGCAATAGGTTGCACAAGGGGGACCGACCGTGGGACTTGCTCTCTCTCCCTCCTTTCTACATCAACGCGGTATCTTTCTGGTCCACACTTTCAACTTTTGAGGTATTGAAACCCGTAGAACGATGAAGTTGGTTAGATACTCTAAAGGAAGAAAGAGGAAGACCAAGAGCCGCAAAGCATTAGTAGCTCGCTATTGGTTTCATCCTCACTTTGGTGTGTCGATGGGCCAACCGATACGGTCATCATTCCATTCAACGCGGGATTTGTCAAGTCGTTGAAAGGTTATCGACCCCAGCCCTTGATATCGCCCTGCTTGCGCGAATAATGGAGCCGACTAACACGTCAGAGATCGCTATCGGGCACCCGTGGGGTAAAGATTCTTGCTTCGTAGCTTCTGTTATCGTTGAAGCCCTTTGTCATGCCCCCGGCGCCATGCTGGCTAGCGGTGCTGGCGTTCCACGGTTGGGGCATCCTGCCCCCCTTGTTTCTCTTACAAAGTCCCCATGTCCTCTTTGAACCAAACAACATCCTCTGTTGTAGTGTAGAGAAATGATGATAATAACAAAAAAGGGACGAAATCATACAGAGCGCTCATTCACACTAGATCAGTAAAAGTGATAATAAGAATGCCCCGTTGCTGTGGTTTTTCGCTTTTTTCGCCTTGGCTCTGTTCACCGGACAAAGGACGTGGTGAACCCACCGATGCGTTTCCCTAATCTTTTTAGATTGGACAATTTAGACTCGCAGAGCCTCGGCCCCCCTCCCCTTTTGAGAACCCCCTCCCCAGGATCGAATAATCCGCAGACAACAATGAATGGAGAGCGCAGTGCACTGGCCCTGAAGACGCCACGGCGCTAGAGGACGCCTGCAGTAGCGCATGAGCAAAGTGCACGGCTGCTATTACAATTTGACGTGGTGCCAGCGCTCTCGCCTCGCACCTTTTGGCTTGAATGGGGAATATTGGTGGAGAGTGTACTTGTTCTGTCTCGCTCTTCTTCTTCCTTTCCCCATAATACCCTCTCCTCTCGTCAAGCGAATTAATTTATCCGAGTAGACTAGAACCTGTCAAGTGGGGCAAACAAAGAAACGGTTTCACGATGTTGCGTGCGTTCGGCATGACGCCGAACAACCTCGTCCTCGAATTCTCCAAGGGGTATTCGTGCATACACGATGCTGGTCGAGGCTTCTTTTCGAAGTGTTCGGTCCCTCTGAGCCCTTGCGCATGGCACTGATTCACATTCATCTCGGGATTGACCCTCCAAAGGAAAAATGAACGAAAACCGAACTTCAGAATTTAGACGTGGGATAAAGGGGGCACGAAGGAGGCCTTTACCCAAAGACAAAAAAAAAAAAAAAAAAAAAGTGAAAAAGAAAAGCAAGACATCATGATATGAGCTTCCTCAGTGTACGCATGCAAGTCTGCAACAAACCGAGAAAAAGAAACAACTACGTGTAGAGGTAAGATCCGAAAAGACCAATACGCGATTAGGGACATATCACAGGTGCACAACCCTGGCAAGGAGGAGGAAAGGCAAGGACAGGCACAAGAGGTAAGCAATGGGGGAAAAGTCCATAACCATAGACCATAAAAACGAGGGCAAAGTTGAGAAGCATTATTTATGGGCTCCCTTCGCGAGTGAGAATGGTAGCATGACAAAGGAGAACCGTGATATAAGAAGAAATCAAACAAAGCAAAAGACGCTAAATATTTGGCTTGTAACATCTAATCATTATCCAAGAATGCTCAAAAACTTGTCCAACTTTCCCTCGACTCTTCTCCCGGTCACGGAGAGGATATACAAAAAATGGCTTTACGGCGTTGCTTTAGTGAGGTGTTGCGTTCCCTTAGAAGGAACCCTCAATGTTGAAGTAGGGCTCGCAGTTGCAAGAGCTAGGTCCCTTCCAGAAAGCCTTGCCGTAAGTGAAGAAGACGACGTCCTCACCGCAGCTGGAGCGGATGGAGTTGACGGCCTGGGCCTGCTGGGCGACACCGGGGCAGGCAACGCCGTTGCAGTTACCCTCGGTGGGCCAACCGCACTCGAGAGAGATGGCGCGCTTTCCGCAGATCTTGGTGACAATGTCGAGCTGGCCACGGACAAAGGCACCGGCGGCAGAGGGGCGGGTGTCGGCGTTGAAGTAAGGGTGGGTGTTGGCACCACCGATATCGATCGAGTCGCAGAGGACGTCACCATGCTGCTGCCAGACGTTGACGGTCTCGGCGGTGGAGAAGGGACCGGTGTAGCCGGCACCCTTGATGACGGCCTTGGAGCTGTCAATCAGGCCCTTGAGCTGGTTGGCGTTGCAAAGACCGCCGAAGATGGCCTCGTTACCGATGACGCAAAGGCTGACGAGGTGCCACTTGCCCCACTTGACAAGGCCCTCAACCTGCTCCTTGTGAACACCGCTGTAGCCACAGCCGCGCTCCTTGACGAAGACACCAACAATGATCTTGAGACCCTCAGCCTCGCAAGCATCACCAACGTTCTCGAGGGTGTTGCAGTCGGTAGAGTAGATACGGACAGTGTTGAAGCCGAGGGACTTGATGTTGCGGATATCGGCGAAGACGGCGTCGCGAGACTTGCACTCACCGCTGTCCTCGGTGTAAGGGGTGTAGGTGATGGCCCAGTGGTCCTCACCGTTGCCGCCGAGGCCGGTGCCGGGAGTGTAGGTGTTCGAGGGCTTCTGCGGCGAAGGGGCGGGGGCAGGAGCGACGGGAGCGGGAGCAGGAGCCGCAGGGGACTGGGGCTCGGGGGTGGGGGCAGGGCCACCGACCCAGGGGCAGACGGTCACGTAGTTGTTGACGGTGACGGTAACCGTGGCAGCGGGCCTGGTGTAAGTGCCAGGGGCGATGACGGTGGGAGTGGGGTACACGATGACGGTCTCATCGACGGTCACGACGCTGGTGCTGGGACCGATGGTGTAGGTGCCGGGGGTGGGGCACACATAGGTGGTCTCCTCGATGATGCTGGTAACAACACCGTTGGACTCGGTCTCCTTGGCAATGGGGCAGACGACGGTAGTCTCGGTATCGACGACGGTCGTCACACCGCCATAGGTGTGGGTTCCGGGGCCGACCTTGGTGGTGGTGGCGCCGCACACGGTGGTGGTCTCGGTCACGGTGATGGTGGTAGCATCCCACGAATAGGTACCGGGGGTCGGGCACACCTCGACTTCGGGGGTGGGGAGAACCTCGACGGTGATGGTGGGAATGGCCGGGGTGGGCTCGGGGCCATGCTCAATGACTGCGATGAAAACATTTGGGTTAGCAACGAGAAGTTCCGCCTGGCAGAGAAACTTGTCCTCCCCCAATGCTACAAAAGGAAAGCGAAAGAAAAGCCGTCGCCAGCCAAGACAGATAGGCGCTTAGTGACCGCAAGTGGAATGGGTCCGCTCCGGCTGAACCATTTCCACCGCGCACTCTCCGCGCCGTCCTAAGCCGGACTCGAGACCATGTCTCGCCGCTTTGGGGTTTGACACGCTCCGTCTCATTGACACGTCCTTCAACCGCAACCCAAACACCTGTCACACAGGCCCGCAAGCTGGTGGCGCCATCCTCGGTTCGTCAACTTACAGGTAGGCTCGCCGTAAAAGGTCTCCCAGACGGTGGTGCAGCCGGGAACGCAAGTCTCGCCGGCGGCCTTGCGGGCGAAGAGATCGTGGGCACGACGGTGGTTTCCGTGGTGAGCGCTGGCAACGCCAGCGGTGGCCGCCAAGATAGCGACGGTGGCCTTCATGATGTCGGTCTGTCTGTCTTCTGTTCTAACCCAAGGGGAATTCCTCTTTCCAAATCGAGAGGGGAAAAAGAAGAATTAGAATTATCGATGACCTCTGTTGTCGAGGTGTTCGTAACGAATGCCCGCTGAACGAGTGAAGCGGTAAGTTGGATTTGCGTGGGTTGCAAAAAGGAAAGGAAAACGAAGAAGGAGAAAACGAGATGCAAGGTGGATCAAGCCTTCTACATGTAGTCGGGATGGCTCCGTTTTTTTAGGATGAGAGGAGAAAAAGAAAGGGGAGGAGAGGAAGGGGAGTCCGGGACTCAAAGGGGAAAGCAAAGAAAAAGAGAGCCAAGCATCGAATAATACCATTGGCGGGTCCACATCAAGCTCATCTCCCCAGGGACTTCCAAGGGGGCACCTTCTACTTGGGGAGCTACAACTGGTTGTATATGGCTATGTAGTGCATGGCGTTGTACTCCATGTATCACCATGTAGTGGAGCGAAGAGTGTTGTTGGATGGCGGACAAGAGCCCGAGGGGAGTGGGACAGGGCAGGGGAGACAGCACGAGCAGGGTGTGATTGAGGATCAGGGACGATTTTGATAATAGACCAGACCACCCTTTTCTTCCGAGCGAGACCACGGGCATTCTACCACACTTACCTGGGCTGTGCCTCTCGACCTGTGTCTCTCTGTTCATGCCTGCTATGGAGAGGCGGGCGACTGGTAGGGGAAGGGAGAGGGGAGAGGGAACAGGATGGAACATCATCCTTCGAAAAGGAGCACTTGCAGAGGGCCAGAGACAGAGAGACAGACAGACAGCAAGAGTTGAGGCCTTCAAGTCAGGTACCCTAGTTCGTGCAAGCTGGGTTCTCCTGCAAGAGCTTGCTTGGCCGTGCATTTCGTGCCTGGGCCGACGACCAAAAACTGACAGCAATCGATGGGCTTGTCCCCCTTGGGCCCTCTTCTCTCCTTGCACCGTTCCTGGCCCGGTTAGCGCTCGTGGAGGGGGCGAAGGGGCCATGCCAATCACCCTGTTGCGAAATTAACTGCCCAGCCAATGTAGTGCTACTTGACAGGTCTGCCCTGCACGTCCCCCTGCAGGCACCGATTGAGTCGGCCAATGGTAGGACCCCAGCCACCCCCAAAGGACCCACAAATACGGTCAAGAGCGGGTATCGATCGAGTATTCCCTTGCTGGTCAGCATCTGGGAATAGACGTTTCAGGTACATAGCGCTCTCTTGACCAAGAACGTTAATCTCCCGAGATTACAATTTGGGAGGACGGCCGGGTTGTGGTACAAGTACACGTTCTTGGATGTGGTGGATCTGAGCGGCCTGGTTACTGGGATTGTGGATGGACCAACGACCGGCCAAGAGAACAAATCAAGAGAATGGATGGATCCACCAGATCTTGTGCCTGTGCACATCGATGGGTTGAGCCTCTCAAGGAATAGTACGCCTCTTGACGGAGCACAAGTGCAACAAAGAAATTCAAGAAATCGGCTGGGCCCACCTGATCGGCCCCATTAGTGCACAGCATAAACATCAATGATCCCATCACCACCACAAGAACAACAACATCCCCACCACTCCAAGCACGCGTCTGCTGGGCACCGCCCTCCAGCTGTCGATACGAGTATCTGAGGAGGTACCTCGGGGGTTACAATGAAAGCAGAGGGCCCTGTGGAGCGGAATACCCTGTTCTCTTGGCCCTTTCAGCCTCCGATTGCAGTATTAGCTCCCTCTGGGCATCATTCCCGGACACAACGACGACCCGGATGGTTAGTGATTAAGGGCCCCGATGGGTATTTTGTAATCGCGTCCAGTATATTCCCCGAGCCTGGGTGTAGGTGCCGCGCCGGTGCGCCTACCCAAACGGAAGGAATGCCATTGTATATTCCCATCCTCCCTTACCAAGGTATACCGCGTGAACTTATAAATAGAGGGAACAAAAGAAGTAAAGCAAAAGACTTTTGTCATCTCCTACATCGTACCTGCAGCTACCGTATAACAGCCAGCCTTGGACCATCGGGCGGCCGGTGGCGGATGCAAAGATGGCGCTCCTGACGTATGAATGACTTGGGGAAACCAGCTAACAGTAAACAAGGCTTGCGTCGCTCCCGGCATAGGCATCCTCTCGTCATCAATCATCTCTCGAGATTAAAAGGCGAGGGCCACCGAATCATTCCTTGGGGGGGTCCTCTACTTTACTAATAAATAGTTTGGGTGAATCAGCGGGATGGGCCTGGTTGGCGCAGTTGATTAGCTGCGTTGCTCTCGCTATTCCAGGAGAACAATTCGATGGCTGTTCTGCCGCGAGTGTCAGCCATTGACGAATGCCAGGTGGAGACTCGCCCTCGCTAGACGCGCGCGCGTCCAGTTGCCCTTGGAGCGAAATGAGTGGGCGGCGTGCATTAATCGGATCGATCGGACAGGGCACCATTAATCTCCAATCGTTAAGGGGGCAAAGAGTTCCTCGCCGGCCAGAAGCAGGGGGATCAACCACCTGCCGCCGTTTACGGTTAATCAATTAGCGTGGATTCCATGACCGAGAGACCATGAGCAGAACTTGAAACATTCCACTGGCCCCATTCCCACGACATTTCTCGCGCGCTCGTGCAGCTTCTTTAATAAAACAGGCAGCTGACGGGCAGAATAAGCACACCCGCCGGATGCGGACTCAAGGATGAAAACAACCTCGTCGTATTGTGGACGTGCAAGGCCTTGGATGTTGTCGATATGTTTTGCATGTGAGGGTATGAGACATATCCTCGGTTTGGAGGCTTCGCCAAGCAGTGAGTGCGCTGAAGATTAGACAATCTAGAAGTGTCATAATCGGTCAGATTAGTGCCCAGAGATTTCTAGATTGAAGATGTTCTCCAAGTAGGGAGATCGATGAACAGGCTAGGGAGAAATTAAGGAAAGGGAGGAGAAAAAAAGAAATCCCCAAGGCGACAGACAACCCCCGATGAGAGCCTTCCGTTCCTTCTTCCCTCTCGCCAACAGCATCCATCCATGAACTTTGAGATTATTTTAGTGGGTATCTCCACATCCTTTCAAAATTGTGCACGTTCAACCTTGCTTTCCCTTGAGCTCTCTGGTGCTTGACCGAGTGTGGGACCGTCAGCGATCGCAGGATGGACGGGCTCGCCAGGTCCACTCGACGCCACCCAAGGTCGAATGGCTTCAAAGTTGCTGCTGATGTGGGGACAAATGAGAGGGAGAACAGTTCTCGCAGCAGGCGGGATCCCCACCAATGCCCCCTTCCAACCCCCTTTTCGAGAATAGCCCCTGTCCCTAATTCCTGTTCCTGGCAGTGGCGCACTCGCCAAACCAGTGCTCCCAAGTACAAAGTAGATTCCTTCGAGGTTCGGAGATGCAAAATGGATGGTGGCGGTGCCACAGTGGCCTGGATCCGGCGCGCTCTCTAGCGCATCAGCCTCTCCCGCCCCGAATAAGGGGCTGCGCTGCGGATGCCGGAGACTGGAGGACGGAGGCTCCGAGTGGATTTTTTCCACTCCTTTTTTCTTGCCCTTCTTTTTCTGCTTCCTTACCAAGCTAGGACAGCGCGGCAAGGATGCCCGGAGCCAGTATTACGGGGTTTCGCTAACTTGGGAGGCCCCTTTGGCTTCAGGCCTTGCCCGCGTAATAGATGATACCCTAAAGTGATGCAATGGAGAATACATACCCACAGTTCCAGCGTGCGGTGGCTCACAGCACGCTCGAATACAGATTCCTTTTCCAAGGCAGACGGTGTATTCGGGTCCTCGTATCGATTCGTCCATGAGCTGAATGTTACGCAAAGTGCCAGTCACCGTTCTCGTTCTCCCCACCTCCTGCTGTTGGGATTGATCAATGTTGATACCTTCGCCTCGCCACCGCCCAGGCGCTGCCAAGATACGACAGGGAGCATGAGAGAGTGGATCAAGAGTGTGGAGACCTTGGCTATTATGGAGATGGCGACGTCGATTTGCTAACCGCGAGCCATCCACATATCTCGCCGAGAGAGGTGTTGGGGTCATTGCGACAGCTGAACCCTAGGAGCTATCAGGTGAAAAGGCCGGGACGAGGGATATCATCGGGAAGAGTGACCCATCATCTTCAATAGGCCGCCGGAGGGGTTCGGGGGCAAGCAATTGAGCCAAGCAAGAATCAATTGCAGTCATCAGCATTCTCTTTTCGCTCGCCGCCCGTGACAGACAGACACATATTTCCAGAGATCTGAACCAAACCCAGAGATTCTCATTAATGATAAAACTCCATCTCTCCGATCCAACCCCAATCTCAAATCAACCTCGATTCAACCTTGATTCAACCCCAATTGATGGGCTGTTGATGACACATTCTCAAGCGATATTATCTCATCTAAGCCAGCCCTTTGACCTCCTTAGAAGAGGGTAGTGCGACCAGTCAAAAGAGGGCCTAGCCTGGCAGAGATCGGCAGCTCATCATCAAGAGGATTGGGGCGTTAACGAGACACTCGGAGGACCTTTGTCGTACCCAGATTATTAACCGCTTATTATTAACAGTGCACCGTAATCTCCCACCTTCTACCACCCCGCTGCAGAAAAGAAGACTGGAGTAAAAATGAAGGAAGAGGGAAAAAGGAAAAGAATAATAATAAAAATAACCATGCAGTTTGCTCCGTAAGTGCACGAGGGATGAGAAAGGGAGCGTCTTTATATGGCTATATAGTATCGGAAGCATACCAACCAAGAGGTTGGAGCCACTGGGAGCCATTTGAGCGTTTTTCCACGATGGCATATTGAAAGGTTCGAGCTAGTATGAGAAACCAGACTTTTGTGATGACGCGGGGGGCCACATGAGACCATCGTTGCCACTCGTTCTTCGGGAAAAAGGGAGAGGGTCCGATGCGATGGTTAGTGAGCAGCAAGGCCGATCGACGCTACCACCTTTTTTCTTTTTTTCTTCTTCTTCTTCTTCTTCTTCTTCTTCTTCTTTCTCTCGGCCTTCGTGAGGGAAATTAAATCAGAAAGGAGGCCGACGTGGATACTGGTAGAGGAGTGTCTTCCCAGGCCGTCTTTAGCGGCATCTCACCAAAGGACAACTGCTTGTATATTGACCATAGTGACGATGCTTGGTGTGGGTAACAATCATACGGTGAGCCCTTTTTGTCAAGACGCTTGATGGGGGTGGAGACGTTTGATAAGTCTAAATGCGCGGTGTGGAGACTGGCCACCAAGAGATGCCGTTGCGCGGTGTGACATGAGTCCACGCAAGCCCTGTTGAAGAGCCGGCTGGGGATGGGGGAGGTTAGGAAACGGCCACGATGGAGCCTGCTTCCCCTGTCGCCGAGCAATCTTGCGTGAGGGTAATTGCAACCAGAGTGAGATTGCTCGAGAAAGTGTCACCGACCCCAAAAGGACATCAGTTGAGAGTAGACCTCTCCTCTGGATACTGCATGGGGCAGGTATGAGCGGTGGGGATCAACCAAATGAGCCAAGCAGGCCGAAGGCGACTCTCAATCCACTGAGACCTCAGCCAGCGAGATATCTACCACTGATGAAGCAGTCTCTAGGGAGAGCCGACTGTGCACCTTCTCTCTTTTCCTCCTTCCTCCTTCACTTGCGGTGTGCCCTTGACGCAGCCGGAACCAGATCAATCATTTGATCTCTTGCACCCGAGATTTGCACTAATACAAGAACATGCGTTTGTTTAATACTATCGCAGTCGCCCCTTCTTTTCCGCCCTCATGGCCAATTCCTGGTTCGTCTTAATCTAGAAGCAAGTCCCTTAATAAGAAATAAAGAAGCGAGGACGGGTAGAACCCCAAGGCCTCGAGGGCTCCCCTCCTTCGAATTTCCCTCCTCCCCGGCCCGTACCTTGCAGATAGATGGTGTGGGAACTGAGGATGATTGCCAGCTAGTTTCAGGCCACGCGTGCCGTCTAATGTCTGTTCCTTGCCTCGGATCGGATGGGGCCCTGCAGTTTCTCTTCGTGGAGGTGAGGTGTGCGCGGGCGAAATAACGTGTGGATGGTCACACCAATCAGTTGATGCATCCTCTGTCGATCTCTAAACAAACACCTGGAGAGATCTTCCTTTGTGTTCTATTATCCCAGCCTCAGCCGCAAGTGATCAACAGAGGTAGGTCTAAAATGCCCGCGAAGCATGCGGTATTCCACCCCATCCCACGAGGACTGGGGTAGGTGCTGGGTTTTTGGTCATCTTTATTTTTGTTGATATCTTTGACTTCCATTTTGATATTCAAGGACAAGGACAGAGGGAGAGAGGATAGCTTACCTTGGTACTTGCAGCACCCTCAATTTTGGGGCTCAAGTTTGGCAGGGCTATGTGCGAGCTGATGGGTATCTGGCTCAGACAAGAGACTGGGACCCTCGGGGCTCGAGCTATTCTCCGAGGCCTCGAGTCCGTAGTAGCCTTGGAGAGGGAGAGAGAGGGTCTAGAACCTGATTCTCTTTGCCTCCTGTCCTCTCGCGTGCCCTGACAAAATAGATTGATGTTGAAACATCTCAGACGTGTCTCAAGGCCTTCATGGACGAGAAGAGTTCCAAGCCCAACCGTATCACCGCATCGGAGATTTTTGAATCAGATTCACTCGGGCCGATGCATAACGACCCAGGCTGGACTCCAGGTAGTTTTGCGAATGGCTAATATGTACCAGCACGTTCGAGGACGAAGCTAGCTCATATCACATCAGATTCCCATTTCCTTCCCGCAATCATAGATTTACCTGTTTTGAACGCTCAAACTACTTGTATATGTCAGGGAAATGGCAAGGGCTTAGGATTGCACCGCAATCTGGCGTATATTCGGGGATGACCGTCGCCTCCAAGAATGACACGTCTTCGCTCAACCTTGGCCGGCTTCCACATCATGGCTTCCCATCTTCAACCACTCATCCATTATGACAATCGCCATTATCCTAGAGGGGTGAGTGGCTGTGACGCTTTCCTGTCTTTACAAACGGAGATTAGTTCCCTTTGCCCCCTTCTTCATGCTCCCTCCCTCATCCCTCACGATTATTATGATTCGTCCCGCGAAGAAAAAGAGGCGAGAGAACGCCTTTCCCGAGCACCCCCGCCGCCTCGCCCGCCATGCTGCGACAAAAGGGATTCGAGACAGGTCCACTCAGCATATGGGTGAGCTGCCTGGCTTCGAACGAGTCAACCGTTGTTTCTCATTTCTCTGGCCTCTTCTCAGGCTAGTGGGGACCTACATCACTGAACGGCGCGTTTGGAGTGGGCTGAGCGAGCATTTCTTTTTCTCTTGGAAGGGAGAGACGCGTGCCTTCTCGCCAAGCCTCGCTCTATCCACCTAGCCCACAACTTCATTATCAAAATGCAGAGTGTGTGAGGATGCAGCGTCGGCTGCAAGGTCGCCTAGGCTGTCTCACCTGCAAGGGACGAAGTTGCTGAAGAGGGCTATAGGTGATGGGATGAGGAAGGTGGGCGTGCGCTACATGAGAGGATAAGAAAGATGCTTCCTTTTTCTGAAAGAAAAAGTAAGTGGTGGAACCCGGATGATTTTGCTGCTTTTCCTTCCCATATGCTTTAGCAGATCTCGATCCGATCCCGCATGGAGAATGCAATACGGAAGATCGTTTGGCTGTGAAAAGCAAATAGACTGTATTAGAGAAGGGGCGAGGTGAGACACAGCTGTCGTCGCAAGCTGACCGAGGCTCGGGGAAACGGTAACTGTTAGGGGTATGTGCGGATGTGCGGATGTGCGTGTGAGCTGGCATCTAAGGTCACCGCGAAGCCCCGCCTCAGATATCATGGGGTCTGGAGCACCATTTGTTCCTAGTCCACAACGAGCCAACCTGGCCACTTCCCGAACATCTCATGGTGAGTTGCTGGGAATAGGGTCTTACTTATCCCAAGGTGCCAGAAGGAGTTTGTAGGATCGGACACGGCTTCCCTTTGGATTGGCGCCATCTCTTCGTTTGAAGTACATTTCCTACATTCGTCGCGTCCACGATCCTTTTCTGCTATGGAAATAGATTTATGCATGGAAACGTGGATATGTGTTGGAGAAGAATATGAAGCGCCGAGGTATTCGAGGGGAGGAAGCTGAGGTGAGGTGAGGTTTGGTCAAGCTTAGATCTGAGTACTGCAGCTGGTGACAGCTGATACGAAGCGAAATTTTCTAGTCGCTTTTTTTGGGGAGGCAAAATGGTCGACGCAACAAATCGATGGAAAAGAGCAACGTACGTCACAGCACGCGCAAAAGTCTGAACTTTACGCGACGAGAAGTAGGCCATCTCAAAAGGAGGAAGAAGAAAGATTGACCCCTTCCTAGCCACCTCCCTTAACCGTCGAAGAACCGTGCGCCGAGATTTGAAGGTCAGATCTCCGGCTTCCAGACGAGCCGTTATGCTCGGGATAACTCGACGATCCCCAGGATGCAATAGTCTTCAACATCCGGGTAGCCTCTTGCGAGGCTTGCTCGTGCCATGTCGGCGCGCATCTCACCAGTCGAGGCAGTCTCCCATAGGCTCACAGAGACGAGTAAGCTTTCCTAATCGCGAGATCTTACAACGTGATAGCTGACGTCTACGCCCTCTGCGCTGGGGCTTGCACAGAACGATTATCGTGACTTCCAGCGACGAGCCTCCGACAAGTTCCTTGCGGACCTACAGCGTCGATCCACCATTCGCGATACCCTGAAGAAATGGGAAGCCGAGAATCCGCAGCAGGCCGAGTTCCCGGTATGCGATTCTCTCCCGCCGGGCGAGCTACCGAACAGCATCTCCAAGTCGCAAGCGCTCGGCAGCATACGGGAGGCCCGCGAAGCTGGCGATCCCGAGGAAAGCGGATTTGTGGTGGACGGGATGGACTCTGTTGACGACACGGCGTCGGTCATGCAGGAACACCTGCGTCCTGGGACCCTGATTGAGCTGAGGTACGTGCTGGATCGGACATGGGGTTCTTGGAACGGCGGAGGAGCTCTTTTCCTTGCATTAGCTAACCCTTACTTGAATCAGATTGTCCGATTCGCGTATTCCGCTTCTTGGAGTCATCCTCGGCCGCTTCCATGGCGTATACTACTTTCTCACCAACGGAGGGCAGCTGGCTGCCGATGAGGAAACCCATCCGTGCTCTTCAGCGCCCCCGGGTTTGCTTCTCCCGCGGAGATGCAAAGCCTTGTCGACTTCCTGCCAAAGGACAGGTTTGTCAATCCGCGCGAGGTTACCCTCCTCTACCAGCCGCCCATCGAGTTGTGCGCCCCGTTGCAGAAGAAGTTACAACGCTTCGATGCCCAGGCCCATCACTTCCACCAAACCAACCTGACGGCTCTATCGGCGGCCGAGAGCAAGCTGCCGCATCCGTCGGAATTCTCCACCTTGAGCTTGCACCAGATCGCTCAGACCCTAATTCCCAATAAGGTGGATAGCGCTGGTACTTATGACCCGGCTACTCTATACGCCGTCCACGTCGCCCTCATGAATGACGAAACGCACGGCTTTCGCCCGTTGAACAAGATTCACGCCGGCAAGCACGTCAGCTATCTGTATCGAATTTCGCCGGCTTCGTCCAACCGCATTATCAAGAAGGTTAGGACGCAGGTACGACAGATCATGGAGACGCTCGGAAGCAGCACAGGTTCGGGTGGAGAGAAAATCAACCTCGCCAACAACGGTCTTTGGAGATTCATCATCAAGACACGGCGGGTCATCAAAGAGAGCCGCGCGCGGCGGAGCTGGACCGATCACGGGATGCTAGTGCCTCACCATGAGCACTACGAAGCCTTTCAAGGCTGGACAAAGGAAGATCAAGATTACCTGCACTTCATGGAGCTTTGGGTGGGCAGTCATGTCCATCAGGAGAGCATCTTGCACTGCTTTGGCTCGTCTATCCTGCACCTGACGCAGATGTACCAGCCAGCGAAGCAGCTCAATGCCGCGACTGGCTGGACCTTTCTCCAGGAGCTTGGCTGCATCCCCTCCTGGGAGCTACCTACCCGCCACAAGTCACCCATCCCCGGTGCCAAGGTGAAGAGTGGAGGCGGCTACGACCGGCCCTCGCCGGGTCCCTTTCCGAGTCCATGCGAGGCGATGTTGCGGCCGGTCGCAGGCGCGATTGGGGTCCTCTACGATCGTATTGCATAGATGCACCATCCACCACCCTCCTGGATGACGCCGTCTCCGTCGAGCCTGCTGGGGCGCCGGGCGAGTATTGGATCCACGCCCACATTGCCGACCCCGCAGCGTTCATCGATCCCAAATCCAAGCTAGCCGACTACGCAGCCATCATTGCCCAGGACCACTTTATCCCGGGGTACCGTTGCAGCATGTTTCCGCCCGAATTCTACGATGAAATTGTCATGAAGAACTTTTCTCTTGACAAGGACAGGCCTTGCCTCACCTTCAGCACCAAGTTGAATGAGGACGGCCAGGTGCTCGATGTCCGTGTCCAGCCTGGTACCCTCCAAAACATCACGTTCCTCACGCCTGGTGATGTGGACGCTTTCTGCCCCCGATACGCCTAACTCCTCAGCCCGCTGGGGTAAGCAAACTCAGGGTCGGGCCCCTCAAGTATCACCGGCCCGCAACCCCGCGCGTTGAGCAAGGTCAGCGGTTTGTCCGAGGCCGAAAGGGATGAGCTGCAGACGCTCCACCGACTCCTCACGGCCGTGGATGTGCTCCGCCTTAAGCGTGGCGCCATTCCTCAATCCAGGGCCTCGCGGTCAGTACGGGTGATGTTTGACAAGACCGGCAGCCCGGCACCATCCCCTCCGAGGATGCGACAAAGTGGTCCGGCGACCCGATGATCGAGATCGGCTTCGACGAGCGCAAGGACGGCACCCTCGTGGGCATGGCCATGATGCTCGCTGGCGAATCCGCCGCCAAGTGGTGCTCCAGCCGCAGCATCCCCGTCCCTTACCACGCGCAACCCGGCGCCCTCCGCAACCCCGAGGGTCTCCGCGCCCTGGGGGACCAAATCCGCGCCCTCACCGACAGCGGCGCGGACGTGCCCATGAGCCTCTGGCGGACCTTTGACCGCGAGGCCGGGCCCACCGCCCAGTCCGTTTTCCCGAGCCCCATCATCCCCCAGGGCCTCGAGATGTACACCAAGGTGACCTCGCCCCTCCGCCGACTCGCCGACTGCATCGTCCACTGGCAGATCCACGCCGCCCTCGCGGAAGAGGCCCGCCTCTCCGCCTCCCTCGCGGGCCAGGACTGCTCCCACGCCACCTTCCTCCCCTGGGACCGTCCCGCGCTCGGCGCCAAGCTCGAGTCTCTGCGCCTGAGCAACTACGTCTCCCAGACCCTCAGCCGGGGCCAAGGCTCCCAGCCCTGGCTCTACCAGGCCCTCTTCCGGGCATGGAAGTTTGGCGAGGCCCAGCTTCCCCCGTCCTTCCGCTTCACCGTCTCGAGCGTCTACGGCGGCGTGCTCATGGGCGAGCTCGACTACATGGGCTTCTCCGCCATGCTGCGCAAGCGGGACATGGGCGGGGTGGCCCTCATGGCCGACGTGCAACGCGGCGACGTCCTCGAGGTCGAGATTCGCGACATCAACGTTTACTCTATGCACTTGTTCGTCGGGGCTTTGCGCCTCCTCGGCAAGAATAGCGCGGTAGCTGAGGATCAGGCCCGATTGCTTGCCGCTGCTGCGTAGTGCGGGACCCCTGTGGAAAGATCTTCGTTGCCCTTCTTTTGTTATTCCCCCTCGGCTAGTGTGGTGGGAGGGAGCCCCGAGAGAGAGAGAGGGAGAGAGAGCATATGTACGATACGTGTCAAGATAGTTGAGAGAGTGGGGCCGGCGGATTCGGTCATATCTGTATCATTAGCATAGATAGAAACCTCATACACAACTCACGATACCCTGCCAAAACACAAAACACAAATAGAGATGCAATCGGCGCGCTAAATCACCCCCTGCCGCCTCGTAGAGCACGCCTTCCATCCGTCAAAATGGGCTACGGCAGCGCTTTGCTTTGTTGGGCCCGTGACGCGTGACTTGTTTCCTATTGTCCGAAGCCGTTGACGGCCAATGGATTTACCAGCTGGACTGAATCCTCCCAGGTGCGTGCATATATGCGTAAACTGCCGGGGCCTCGTGACACCTGCCGCCCCCTTTTATTACCTTTATTACCGGAGATCCGAACTGATGATATAGAATCACGCACACACATACATACACACATAGTAAAGGGACGAGAAAGGGAATGATAAAGATAAATAGAGTTTGATTTGATCAAACTCATTTCGTATTCTCCGGCTGCTGGCTGTACGCATGTGTGTATACCCCAAAAGCAAAGGCCGAGAAGAAAGTGGTACAGGAAAGTTTTGGTGCGCACACGCTGATGTTGCCACCTTGCAAAAGCATCGAAATAAAGAAACAACCGTCCTACTCAGTTTGAAAGCTCCTCTTCCTCCCCGAAACCGTTAAGGGAAGGTAAGATATCATAAGGCCGCCTCCGTAACCGGATGTGTAGTACTTTTTAAAACGACAAAACGAGAAGCGGAAGAAAAAGAACAAGAAAGAAGACCCTGGGATCGTTACGAGTCCCCTGATGCAACCAACTCCCTATCCCTAAGCGCCACTTCTAAAAAGAATCCTTGCCATTCGAAGCAAAGATGGAATGAAAGACAAAAATGAAAGACAAAAAGGGCCTATTAGGAGGGACAAGATTGGTCCGACTCAAGGCTCCCTGATAAAAACAGAACATGTAGTGGCCGTAAAGAGGCCCTTTCCCTGCGTCGCGGTGCTGTTGTTGCCTTCTCGTGTGTTCTGTGACTCGATCCAAAACTGCAAAAGAGCTTCAAAAAGCGCACCACGGGCAGGCGCATATCGCAAAATAGGCCAGTTGTCTGTGTTTTTTGCCCGGCTCTCGTGTTTCGGCTCTCAACAAAAAATTAAAAATAAACTGGCCATTGCTGGCTCTCTCTGTAGTTGGATCCCATTCCTTATAATACAGACCGGAAGCCCCGCACAAAAGGAAGAAAAAATGGATAGGAATTATGGTCGTCGAGTCCAATTCGGTTGAATCGTTAGGCATCGCGCGGTTATCGATTCGGCCGTGGTTTCGGACGACGGTGGTCGGCACCCGCCCCGTAAAGACGTCATTTTATATTCTGCGCCTCTCTCTCCCCAGGTTTCTGTGGAGCAATTATCGTAAGGCGGGCGCAGTTTCCCTCCACTAGGTATTCATTTTCTCCAGCCAACGTTCCAAATGACGTGGGCAATGTCGCGTGCAGTGTTGACCGTATCGAGCACGCGACCAAAGATACCGCTATTCGCCGCTGGTGTCTCGACTTCGTCGCAAGGCATAAACATGCCCGAGGCGGTACGACGCATGCCGCTGGGTTCACCCGTTAGGCTGCTGCTTGAGGGTGTTTTCCGAAGGTCTCCAAACGGCCGGTCTGTCGAGCCGCTGGCGTCGGCAGAACTCTCCTCCTCGTCCTCTTGGTCTTCGAAAAATGACCTTTTCGGAGACTTGGCCTTCACGCCGTCGGCTCGCAGGGTCTCCTGGGACGATGAAGGCGAGACGATCGGGCTTCGATAGGTGCGGCCACTATGTTTCATGGCTGTCTCGATCTCCAGAGTACCTTCCCGATCCTTGAGCGTTGTTGATGGAAGCTTTGCAATCGTCTTGCCGTCGGCAACTTCTTTTCCGTCGCGGAGCGGGCATCCGCCTTCGTCTCGTTGTGGATCTCTTCATCATGATGGCGCCATCGTCCGAATCACTCGATCCGTACATGTCAATTGGGGTGTCGTTGCCGTCATCAGGACGGATGTCTACGGCAATGCACTGCTCGACCTGTTCGTTAAAGTGGATCCGTTTCCTCCCAGACGTAGGCGAGGCAATCCCCGAACTCGTCATTGAGGAGAAAAGGCTCTGCTCTTTGCTTTCTCTCCTTGATGAAAAAGGAAATGTAACATAGTCGGTCGTGGCCCTGTCGTACGCCGGTCTGCTGTAGCCTCGTCGAGCATCTTTCTCCTGGGCTTGGACGGCCGCCGCCGCTTGTTTGAGTAACGACGAGCTAGAGAGAGAGCGCCTGAGCATGATCTCGGACATGCTCCGTTTCTTCAAAATGGGCTTCTTGTCGATGAACGAATCGGTCTTGGACAACGTCGAACTGCCGGCCTCGGGGTCGGCGTTTCGGCCAGTCGAAACATTGGGGGTCTGCAACGGCCCGTACAGCCAGGTCACGTCACATTCTTTGAGCCTATCCGAGTCCAAAATCAGTATGTGGTGGTTCAAGCCTGTTTGTGAATCGTTTGACAAGGACGGATGAGGGGAAGACCAAAAAAGCAAAGAGGAGTGAAGTGATCGGGGAGGAAAAAAACAACGAACGAGAAACAAAAGGAAAGCGAGAAACAAAAGGCCACAGGCCACAGACCACAACCCCTCATGGGTTCCTTATCACGTACCAATTTAGAGTCTCTGGTGAGACCGTGCTAAGATTGTTTTGCCTTGAGCCACGTCCTCCACGACGCATTCTCAAGTCGCGCGGCATTCATGTAGTCTTTGCGACGAGATACGATGTATCGCCAGGAGGACCAAATTTCCTCTTCAGTCCAATTATGAGAGAGGTAGTCTACATGGCGGGTCGGCTGCTGACGGATAGCGGTGTCATCTTCGGCGCGCTCCACGACCTCGGGCGTCACAGGACCGTCAGTACTGCTCCCAGAGCCGTCGTTATCCGGAGAATTTGTGTACGAGTGGCCGTTTTTGGGGCTGGGCGGCGGCTCGAGGTCCTCAAGGGATCAGGATAGAGTGCGTGGTCGTAGTCGGGCAGGACAAAGTGGTCATCGGGGTGGAAGTCGATCTGGAGGTCGTCGCAGTCGGAGGACAAGGAAATATTACTAGAAGGCGTCGAAACGAACGATATATCCGTCGAGTCGGCGGGTTGGATTGTGCGCGGGGAGGAGGGAGCGGAGGACGAGGCGGTAGAGTTGGAATAGGGTCGGGCGAAGTGTGAATATGAGTCCTGGATTCTGCCGGTAGAAGAGGACGAGCGTAGTGAGGATTTGGCAGAAAACTTGGACTGTGATTGACTCCTCCTCAGAGTAGTTGAGAAATAGTCATCCTCGGAAGTGAGGACGACGGCCATGTTGGAAAAGGTAGGCGATCGCGCCGCTGCGAGACGATCGAGGAAAACGTAACGCGAAGATCAGAGAGCGAGAAGAAAATAACTTTTAAGCGGAGGTAAGAAGGGGGAGGAATGAGGAGAAGAATGATGGCTGGGTCGACAGCCAGGCGTTTAAGCCTACGAAAGAAGAGTGTGAACGTCGAGTCCCATCAAGGCGAAGATGATGTTCAAGGCCTTGGTTGGAAAAGAGGTTCGGTTAAAGGTGAAGGAAGAGTGTAAGTACTCGGGGGGCGTTCAAGGTTATTCTGGAAGGGCGAAAAGGTGCTGCCAAGGGCTGGGTGGGGGTGATGGGAATGGAAAGAATTAATATGCGTCCATTTGTTCTCTCTATTTACCCCAGAGCCGTTTGGGCCGGGATCTGAATCAGAGACTTCTTGTGAAAAAGGCACCAGAGCAGGGGTGGGTGATTTCAGTGGGTGGTGCCCCTAGGAGGGGGAATCAATTTGTACTGTGCTCTGGCGCGCTTTGTGGGCGGAACAGTCTCGTACTTGTACTCATATGCACGGAAACCAAGCCGGGTGGGACAAGCAAAGTATAGCGCAAGCGTCGTGTATCATTCTGCACACACAAAAGTAGGAGGGGGAAGTCGTGTGTGTGCGTGTGTGTGGATGATCGAGGACAGGGTACGGTACTCTCCCGAGTTTTGGAGGGTGGGCGCATGCTCGGTGGCGTTCAGGGAAAAGCGGTGACCGGGATGGAAATGTGTGTTAGTGCGGAGTTGAGGTGGATGAACGAACGCACACAATTAAACATCAAGATCACAAAATCGTGGGGGCCGTTTGATTTTCCAAAAGGTTGGAGTCGAGAAAGAGGCTTCTCCGCGAGGCCCATATCATCAAATTGATGTTGGCATCTGCGAGGGACTGGACTTTGGCTTCGTCATTGAACTTAGTGCTTGGGCAAGGATCCAGTCATTAATTGTTTTCAGTCTATCATGATGAATGTACAAGGTATCGATCAATGTACGAAGTAGCTGAGGGTGTATCGTTCTCGTAGCGCGCCTGCCCTTCTTCATTCCATTCCTCCTTGAGGCCGAGAGAGGTACTTGGGCAAGCGATGTACCGGTATCAGCGTGATTCCGGCCGGGCCCCTCTTGACTTCAAGGCCTTGGAATTAAAGCAACATACTTGAGAGACTGATTCACACTCCAGTATCAGCTTTCCGGGAGATTAGCAACCAAGTTGGAGAGAGCGTGATATGTAAAAGTAGGAGGGAGAGGCAGCCCAAAGCCGAACGACTGAGTAAAGGAAACCGAAAATATGGGATAAAATTTTGAGAGTGATCTTTTTTTCTTTTTCTTTCTTATTCTTTTTTTCTTCCACACTCTTTTCTTGGACACACGTCGAGGACCTTGAAAAGTACCCAGTCTATCCAGAACCACAATGCTGGAAATTCTGGGCTGGCGATGAGGTCTTGCTTTGGTCCAATGCCGCCAATGGACGCGTGCGCCTGGTGTTCCGCAGGCTTGAAGTACCGGGATACAACCTCGCCGCCAAACCTGGGAGGCTTGTGCGAATTGAGGAAGGAGAGAGGATGCACCATGGGACCGCGGGGTGGCGGAAAGGTGGGACTAGTCCAAGTACGCTATGTGTTTTTTTCTGGCAAGGCCAGCCTGTGGAGTTTTGAGGATGACTGGAAGGACAGGCCTCTGGGGGTGCTTGTCTAGTCCCGAGTACCCTCTCCAAGTGGTACCTTGTACTATTAACGGGGCCTGAATAAGCAAAACTACAATTAATGAAAAATTATCTTGTCACCTGCACATTGTTTATACCCCAGACTGTTTCCTTGACTCATGAGGACGGGCCCGCTGTGGAGAGAGAGCAAGCGATGGGACCGTAACTACAACTCAGAAAGCGCAGGCAGGGAAAGCCGGCAGCTTCAGCGTCGCTGAAGCAGGCCTCAGCCCTCAACTCCTCCCATTGGAGACTAATGGCCTTGTCATGTTTCTGCACAATTTGAGCTCGCCAAAGTCTCTGCTACGATCGCTCAGCGAAGACAAGGACAAGCGCCCTCCACAGCTGAGGAATTGGTTGATAACATCGAGGCAACCGCTGCGCGGTACGGAGCAGTTGGGCTGGAGGATGTCAGAAGAAACAAGGGCCCATGCCGCGATGCTTGATAGCGAAGAGGAGAATCAAGATTCGATATCGCATCGCCAAGCTGAGATGGGTGGGTGTGCTTATCTCTTTCTCTACGCAAATTGCTCTCGTACTCACAAGGTCTAAACGCTTGAGCGCTAGCCAACGAAGCCCACTTCCATTCACCTTCCGCACAGTCCAACCCTCCCTCTAGTGAGTGATCCAAGTGATATAGCACCACCAGCTCCGTTGCTGGACTCATAAGAGTGGTATCGACTGAGGGAGCGTTTGTGCTCTCCTCTCAAGGTCAAAGTACGGTTAGTCGGGCAAACTACTCCATGTTGGATCCTGCACTAGGCCAAGGCCCACAGAGCCAATGTTTGAATATTGATGCGCGAAGGATCAAGCGGGAACTCCCAAGTCTCGCACTTCACCCCGATACAAGCTAGGGACTGCCCATCGATCTGAGGTATCTTGGCTAGCTTGGTCCCGCACCCAACTGGCTGAACCCCGGTGGGATATACTATATGTGCAATCCTTGGGCATGGCTTAAAACACAACTAGTGCAAGTGGTCAATGTAGCTAGCCAAAGATGTCCAATATGTAGCAGTTGAAGGAGGATGGGAATAATCAATGGCAGAACCAAATTCACTGACCAGACAACAGACAGGAGAGGTCTCCGATTGTTTGTTACAACCACAAGATGAAGCAGCTCCTTCCAAGTTTTATGTGTGGATAATGAGGAGCGAATGTACCCATCCAAGCCATACAAGGCTCCACGGGCCTGCCAGGGCTGGTACAGCCATTCAGAAGCGTGAGGTGAGGCTCTGAGGGATCAGTTTCTGAGGGAGAGATCAACCCATCAACCCATCAACCCATCAACCCCTGTTAAGCGAACGCTACAATGCTACGGGGCTGGGAGTGGATCACACCGAGGAATCGGGAACAGGTAAGCCAGGGCCCTTGACCCCGTGAGCGAAAAGGGAGAGCAAAATTTTTAATTCCAATGGATCAAGGATGGCGCTCATTTGGAAGTTGATTCGCAGTGTCCCACACAGTATGGAATGAAAGGGGTCGATTGTGGATGAGAGAACTTTGCAAGTGCTTTTGGTGGCGGGCCAAGATGTCACGGGGATGCGCCCCCTAGCAACCCCGGTCGAGTCGAGAGCTCGCAGCAGCCAGGAGGAGCCCGGTTCAAGTGTGGAGAAGCCATAGTCGTGAGCATGGGCCTTCGGCGCCGTCAAAACTGCTTAAATCCCCAGAGCCCCATGCTCGGCGCCGTTCGCACATCGCACCACTCAGAGCACAAGTTCAAGCCTGAGACTCGTCCTCGGGCCAAGGCCAGGACGTAACGAGAGGTCATCGAGACGCCCAAGATCAAATTTCGTATCAGGAAACAATAGTGATAGCCCACACCAAGTGGGCACTGGTTATCAGCTCATCCTCTTACAAGTAAAAAGACGGAGCCATTCGGGTGGAGGAACGATGGTTGGTGCAACGCACCCCACGAAAGCCGCGCAAGTGGGTGCACATCAGGAGCCTCGTTTTTATTCGTATCTCCTTGATTTGAGACTACTCACCGATCAAGCTCTCTATTATGGGGTACAAAGACGAGATCTCCTTTTCACGCAGTGTCCACCTCTATCTAGAGACCCCCTCAAGCCCTAGAGAAAGGCCAACCCCGGAAAGAGTTTTGATCTACTCTGAGATGTCCACAATTCCCCTCCACCTAACTCACGAAGGTAGGTCGTCGGAGCAATCGATGACCCATCCCCCGATCCGGCCCGCCTCTCCAACTGCGAGGAATACCCCTTGCTTATAGGAATCACAATTCCTCATACATGCAAGGCGAGGGTGCGGATCACGGCTGACTCGTCGGTCTCCAAGGCTAGAGGGCGGAAGCGGATGAGGATCAATAAGGTCATGCCAGACCTTGATTGAGTCGTACAGTGAAGCCTGACGAAGGTTTTTCACCTAGTAAGCCTGGCGCGGTTAGGCAACGGCCGAGGCCCTCTGAGGGAGCACTAGAATCTCTTCCGCAAGCATAGGTGACGATTTTGTTACAATCAAACTGGATGTCCTCTACGTTTCCTACCACCCCCATATCCTTTTTCTCCTTCCTCCAGTGGCGTGCAGGCTGTCAGGGAACACCCGTTTAGGAAATTGTTTGGGGCCCTTTTTTTTTTCCTTACCCCCTTCCCCCTTGTACCGCCCTCCTCAAGCCCGTGCCATATTCCCGCTGCTGGAGTGGCGCCGAAGCCCCCAACCGAGACCCGAGGAGGTGGTACGGGCACGGGCGACACTTGCACAGATGGACTGCTGTTGACTGGTCCAGAGGGGCGACCGAGGAACAGCAGAAGGGCCCGGAGCTGACAAGAGAAAGTGAATCGCATCTTGTGACAAGACAATCTCTCGTTAGTGCTCCAAGCCGTACTCAATTTTTTTGTTATGCCTCTCGGCAACTTGAAGTAATTAAGAGGTGTCTAGTTCTTTTACAAACCAAGACACGAAAAAGAAGGGAGTGAAGCAGAGGAGGGATCGATGTTGAAACGAGCACTGGTCCCAGTCTCCCGTCTATCTTCGTGTTTCGCTATTCTTCTATCAAAACCATAGTGTTCATTACGCGTGAGACATCCAAGTGAGTATGCGATGCCTAGTTGGGCGAGGATAGGCGCGCGGGAAAAGAAAAGGAAAAAAAAAAGGGAAAAAAAGGTCCATTTGCACTCTTAGTCCGACCGAGTCGGCTATCGCCTCCGGCAGAGATGTCTACATGTGGTAATTGCACGTGTCACAATACTCGCCTGCTTCAACATACTCGTTTCCTTTCTCTGTATCCCGGCAGTTTCCTCCTCGGAGATCGCATCACAAGAAGGCTAGTAGGAG